TGTGGTTGCTGTTGTTGGTGTTGTTATTGTTGTTATTAGTAGTGTTGATGTTGTTGTTATGGTTGTTGTTCTTGATGTTTTTGTTGTATTTGTTGTTGTTGGTATTGTTGTTATGGTGGCTGTTTTTGTTGTTGTCACTGCTGCTGCTGTTGTTGTAGTTGTTGTTGTTGTTGTTGTTGAATTCTCATTTCTGAATAATAATTATTGGTGATCCCCCCCCCACCGGTGCATATTGTTTTTTCTCAATCAAAGTGTGCCCCTCGACGCTCGCACCCTGTTTTTTGACAGGGAAAGTCTTGATGCTCAAACTGGCCCGCTGGCGCCCGGGTTACAACAACAACGGCTCCCGCTTGAGACTTCCTTACAATTTAGCCAGGACCCCCGAATTCTCATTTCTGAATAATAATTATTGGTGATCCCCCCCCCACCGGTGCATATTGTTTTTTCTCAATCAAAGTGTGCCCCTCGACGCTCGCACCCTGTTTTTTGACAGGGAAAGTCTTGATGCTCAAACTGGCCCGCTGGCGCCCGGGTTACAACAACAACGGCTCCCGCTTGAGACTTCCTTACAATTTAGCCAGGACCCCCGCTCCCGCCCGAGACTTCCTCGCATTTTATTCAGGAATCGCGCTCTCGCTTGGGACTTCCTTACAATTTATTCAGGAATCGCTCTCCCGGCGTCTGGGAGGTCGCTGCTCTTCGCTGGAGGACTTGCTAGCAACTTACGGAAGAATGTGAAGAATGGCCTAGCGTGGGAATTTCTTGCAATTTTCCCAAGCGCCGCACTCCCGGACACCCAGGCACCCAGGAGTCGCGCCCGTTGTGGCACCATTTGCATCGCCCTTCGTGGCCGCGCTGTCGCCATTTGTGTCTCCCTCACTGTCCTACGTGGCCCAGTTGCTACCCTCAGTGGCCCCATAGTTGCCTTCTGTGGCCCCGCATTATCTGCACTTCGTGGCCCCCGCTCGTTCGCGCTGTTCGTGGCCCCATACGCATTCCCTTGTGTCCCCGCTGTCGCCCTTCGTGGCCTACTTCGTGCCCTTCGTGGCCCTGCTGTCGTTCTCTCTCGCTCTCGCTTTCTTTCGTCGTCGCTGTCGTCGTGGTCGTCGCCGTCGTCTTGGACGTCGTCGTCGTCGTCGTCGTCGTCGTCGTCGTCGTCGTCGTCGTGGTCGGTCCCTTGTCAGTCCCTCTTGGGGTCGGGTCGACGGTCCCGCGCGCTCTCGCCTCGACGCGGCTACATTTTCTTTTGAAACGAAGCTTCCGCTCCTCCCGCTCGAGCTTTGGCTTGAGCCTAAATGTGGGCCCTTGGAGGCCCAGCCACCACAACAACGGCTCTCGCTCGATATTTCCTCACAAGTTACCCCGAGACACCCTGGCCAGAGAGGCCCCCGAACTCAGGAACCGCGCTCTCGCTGGAGACTTCCTCGCAATTCAATTAAGTTGTCGGAGGCCCAGCCACGACGACAGGGGCTCCTGCTCGATACTTCTTCAGGATTTACTCCGAGAGCCCCTGGCCAAGAAGGCCCCCGAAATCAGGAACGGCGCTCCCGCTCGAGATTTTCCCGTGATTCACGCAAGTCGGTGGAGGCCTGGACACGGCGACAAGGGCTCCCCTTCGATATTTCTCCATAGGTATTCCGAGAGCCCCTGGCCAGAGAGGCCCCCGAACTCAGGAACGGCGCTCTCGCTCGAGACTTCTTCGCACTTCAGTCGGTGGCCGACAAGGAAGAGATTCCCCCCGAAAGGGGGTGCAATCGAAGACGAAGTGGGCGGGCATCGAGGGTTGGGGTATACGGAATGCAAGACACGCGTGCCAGTAAGAGCGAACAGTATTATATTGATTGTTGTTGTTGTTGTTGTTGTTGTTGTTGTTGTTGTTGTTGTTGTTGTTGTTGTTGAACTCTCATTCTTGAAGAATAATTATTGTTGATCCCCCCCCACCGGTGCACATTGTTTTTTTTTCGATTGAAGTGCCACCCCCGGGGCTCGCACCTTGTTTTTTCTCAAGGAAAGTCTTCCTGCTCAAACTGTGCCCCTGCCCCCCGGGCTACAACAACAACACTCACAGACAAAACTCACGCCTGAGCTTCCTCCAATTTACTCAGGACCCTCGCTCGGACGACTTCCTAACAATTTTGAGGATCGGTGCTTCCCGCCTGTGACTTACCTCGTATTTAGTCTGAGACACCTGCTCCCATCTGAGACTCCCTCACCATTTACTCAGGAACGGCGCTCCCGCTTGAGGCTTTCTCGCAATTGAGTCAAGACTTCCTCGCAATTGAATCAAGACCCCCGCTCCCGCCAGAGAGCCCCTCACATGTTATTCAGGAATTGCGCTCTCGCCTGCGACCTCCATGCAATTTATTTAGAAATCGCGCTTTCGACGCTCAGGAAACACGCTGCGCCAAGGACGTCGCTACAATTTACTTAGTAATCGCTCCTTCGCCATACTCAATCATCCCGCTTGAATGTCCCACCCGCCCGACCCGCCCGTCAGGGGATCGCCCGCCCGTCGTGGGCTCCCGCTCGAGACTTTCTTCAGGAACAGCGTTTTCGCCTAGGACTTCCTCGAACGTTCACGCTCTTACCTTCCTGCTCCTCCTCCTTCTCCCTCCTCCCTCCTCCCTCGTCCCCTCCTTTCTCTCTCCCTCCTTTCAACCTTCATCCTTATGCCTGTCTGCCCTATCCCCTCTCCCTCCTCTCCCTCCTCCCTTTTCCCTCCCCTCTCCTGTCTCCTACCTCCCTCTTTCTTTCGCTCTCTCTCTCTCTCTCTCTCTCTCTCCCCTCTCTCTCTCTCTCTTTCTCTACCTCTCTTATATGTTTTTTTTTGTTTCTCTCTCTCTCTCTCTCTGCCTCTAATCAATCGCCCCCCTCTTCGCTCCTTCTCTCCTGGCGTTTTCCCTCTTCCTTCGTCCCTCCCCCTCCCTTCCTCCCACTCTCCCTCGTTCTCCCCCTCCTCTTTTTGCAGGGCCCACACCAATTCCACTGGCGGGCGCATGTACGCCCACGAAGCATTGTCCGTCCGTTCAGGTTTGCCCGCCTGTCTAAGCCCGCCGCCCCCCCCCCACAAAGAGAATTATTAATCCCCACAAAGGGGGTGTGATCGAAGACAAAAAGGGCGGGTATCGAGGGTGTGGGGAACTCGTCTTGAATGACACACGGGGGCATGTAGTAGTAGTAAGTTAGTAGTAGTGTAGTAGTTAGTAGTAGTAGTAAGTTAGTAGTCGTAGTCGTTGTCGTAGTTCGTAGTCGTAGTCGTAGTAGTGTAGTAGTAGTAGTTTAGTAGTAGTAGTAGTAGTAGTAGTAGTAGTAGTAGTGGTAGTAGTAGTAGTAGTAGTGTTAGTAGTAGTAGTAGTAGTAGTTAGTAGTAGTAGTAGTGTAGTAGTAAGTAGTAGTAGTGTCGTAGGTAGTTAGAAGTTTGTAGTAGTAGTAGGATTCGTCGTAGTCAGTAGTAGTAGTAGTAGTAGTAGTAGTAGTAGTAGTAGTAGTAGTAGTAGTAGTAGTAGTAGTCGTAGTTAGTAGTAGTAGTAGTAGTAGTAGTAGTAGTAGTAGTAGTAGTAGTAGTAGTAGTAGTAGTAGTAGTAGTGGTAGTGGTAGTAGTAGTAGTAGTAGTAGTTGTTGTTGTTGTTGTTGCTGTTGTTGTTGAATTCTCATGTATGAAGAATTCTTATTGTTGATCCCCCCACGTGTGCACACTGTTTTTTCTCAATCAACGTGTCCCCCTCGACGCTCGCACCTTGTTTTTTTTGACAGGGAAAGTCTTGATGCTCAAACTGGCCCCCTGGCCCGCAGGTTACAACAACAGCGGCTCCCGCCTGAGACTTCCTTACAATTTAGCCAGGACCCCCGCTCCCGCCCGAGACTTCTTCGCATTTTATTCAGGAATTGGCTCTCGCTTGGGACTTCCTTACAATTTATTCAGGATTCGCTTCCCAATGCGCTCTGGAGTCGCGCTCTCGCTGGAGACTTGCTTGCAACTTACTGAAGAATAGCCTTGCGTTGGAATTTCCTGCAATTTGCCCAAGCGCCGCGCTCCCGACACCCAGGCACCCAGGAGTCGCGCCCGTTGTGGCCCCATGTGCATGCCCTTCGTGGCCCCTCTGTCGCAATTTGTGTCCCCCTCACTGTCCTACGTGGCCCAGTTGCTACCCTCAGTGGCCCCATAGTTGTCTTCTGTGGCCCCGCATTATCTGCACTTCGTGGCCCCCGCTCGTTCGCGCTCATCGTGGCCCCATACGCATTCCCTTCGTGTCCCCGCTGTCGCCCTTCGTGGCCTATCGTGGCCCTGCTGTCGTTCTCTCTCGCTCTCGCTTTCGCTCGTCGTCGCCGTCGTCGTCGTCGTCGCCGTCGTCTTCGTCGTCGCCGTCGTCTTCGACGTCGTCGTCGTCGTCATCGTGGTCGGTCCCCTGTCCGTCCCTCTTGGGGTCGGGTCGACGGTCCGCGGCCGCCCCGCCGATCAGCGCTGCCGCTGCCCAGGCCGACGGTCCGCGGCCGCCCCGCCGCTTGCCGGGGCCCGGCCTGCAGGGAAGAAGGGTATACCATCCAAAAGGGGTTCGATCGAAAACGAAGAAGGCGGGTATCGAGGTTTGGGAAATACGCGTTTTTGGACACTCGATCATATCAGGGCGAACAGTCTTAAACCTGTTGTTGTTGTTGTTGTTGTTGTTGTTGTTGTTGTTGTTGTTGTTGTTGTTGTTGTTGTTGTTGACTATTCATTTTTTGGGGAAAAAAACGTATCCCGGCAACTCAACCTAACAACGATGTGTATGTCTGTATACTGGTTCCCTGTATGCGTATACCCGTCTTCCCCCCTTTGGCCAGGACACGCCGCCCCAACACGTCCGTAGCCTGTTTGGGCTTTAGGATCCATGCATTCTTCGGGGTCACGGCCACGAGTGTCTCGGTGGCCGCGAGGCCTGCTGCGAGGCGCGCCATCCGCCCTCCTCGCGCTCCTGGCGGCGGCACTGGGAGGCGAGGGTCGCTGGCCTGACTCCTGGCAGGCGCGAAGCTGGGTGGCTCAGGCGGCTGACGAGGACCTCGACGGTGGAGACGAGGACCTCTGGGAGGCGCCGGAGGCCGTCGTGCCCGCGCCCGTGGAGGACGGGCCCGTGCCGATCGTCCCGTTGGCGGTGGCCCAGGGCAAATGCTACTGCAGCACGGGCTACGCAGCAGGCGGCCTTGAGCAGTGCCGGTTCGCGTGGCGGGCGCTGCGGGTCTCCAGCGCAGAGCCGCCGCTGCGCTTGCGGGCGCTGTTCGTCGAGAGCAAGGAGGCGAACCCAGAGGCGGCTTGGCCAGCAGCACGCCTCGGGCCGCTGGTCGCCGCCGCCGCCCCCGCGAGGCCCGCTGCGGTGGCCAAAGCGACGGGTCGCCCGCCAGCCGCAGCAGGTCCTCCCAGGGCCCCGCCTGGCGCTGCCCCCTTCGACGACTTCCTGAGCGTAGGAGGCTCGTCGCGCGGCCCTGGCTCAGAGCTGGCCGCAGATGAGGAGGCAGCTGCCGCGGGCGGCCTGGGAGGCAAGCTCGCAGGGGCTCGTGTGCGCCTCGAGGAGGGGAAGCGGGCTGCTGGGGACGTCAACCTGGACGGCTTCCCCCTCGGCGCAGAGGCGGCTGGCGAGGGGCCTGTGAAGAAGCGGTCGCTCGGGGACCTGCTGGTCGAGCGCGCCGCGAAGCTCAAGAGGGCCGCCTCGGACGCGGGCCCCCGAGGGTCAGGGGACCCTGTGCCCGAGCGGGCGCCGCCAGGAGCTGGTCTGAGCGGCGGCATGGCGGAGCTGGCGCAGGCGCTCGCGATGGCCATCCGCGAGGGCAAGGAGGCTCCCCCTGGCAACATCGGCGGGGGCGGCCTCGGCTCCGTGGACCCCGCGGCGGTGCCGCGCGACCTGGCCACGAAGAGGGCCTTCTGTCGTCGGATGGCCGCCGCCTCCCCGGGCCGCCTCACGGAGCTGAGCCTGCAGCAGGTGGCGGACTTCCTGGGCTCGCAGGAGGGGGGAGGCGGCCGTCGACGCGACGGGCCCGATCGCGCTGCGGCACCTCCTCACGATCTACCTGCCGCAGCATCCGGTGAAGGAGATCGGCGTGCAGACGTACCGCGAGCTCCGCACCCTCGCGGAGGCGGTGGACCTGCTGATGCAGGGGAAGGCGGCCCACGCCTGCGACCTGATCGTCCAGCGCCTAAAGGCGCTGCAGGTGGCAACGACGGACGGCTCGGGGGCGGCGGCGGAGTGGTGGGAGCTGATCCCGCCGCGCGACGAGCCCACGGCCATCCGCAGCGAGGAGGAGGAGCTCATCCGCAGCATCCAGCTCGGCGAGATGAGGTTGGACGAGCTCTCCGCGCGCCTGGCCTCTGCCAAGACGCCGGGATAGGGCGGGGGCCCGACGGGGGCGCGCCCGCCGCTGGCGCCTCCGTCTGTTGGCCAGGCAGGTGGGGCACCCCCGGCGACAGCGCAGGCAAAGGGACCTGGGGGGCAGGCCCCCCGCCAGCCGCGGGCTCGGCCGCCCCGCAGGAAGGTTTCTGCGGCGGCTCCACCAGCCCCCCTGGCGTCGGCCGCGGGCGGGCCTCCCCCGCGGGCCGAGGGGTCGGCAGCCCCACCGCCGTGGAAGATGTCCTTTGCGGAGATGCGGAAGGAGTTCCCGCAGCAGCCGGGGGAGACGAACACCCAGCACCGCCTGCGAGCCTTCAAAGCTCGTGCGGCGGCGCGCCCCCGTCGGACATGGGCGGCGGCAGCCTGCCGCCTGCCCCGCGCTATGGTGGAGCCTCCTCAGGGAGGGTGGCCGATGCCTCCATCAAAGGCGCGAGCCCTGCGGGGGGTGCTGGTGGGGGAGTCCGCGGCGTGGGCCAAACTCGGTTTACCGAGGGCGGAGATCGTGCCACCCTATGCGAGCGGGGTGAGGGCGTCGCGGAGCCCCCGCTGGCCACCGCGCTGCAGTGCTGGTCCGACGAGCTCTCCCTCGGCTTCGGCAAGAGCATCGTCGCGGTCGACCTGGCGGCGCAGCTGGCGGCAGCAGTGCGACGCCGCCCAGGCAGCCTTGGCCACTCCGCTCGGTCTTTCAGCATGCGTGCGGACACATTTTGTGGGAGCGGAGGGTCGTCGAACAGGAGGGTTCGGGACGCCCTGCCGCTTCCCCTTCCGTCGACCGAGGAGGTGGTCCGCTGGCTGGCCCACAGTGCCTTGCCCAAGGCGCGCAGGTGCCGCCGCCGCGCCGTGGCGCGGGAGGTCAGCGAGCAGGCGTGGCTGCGCCTCAGCGTGGTGGCGCTCAACTATGCGTTCTACGGCCGCGCGCAGGAAGGCTGGCGCCACAGGCCGGCCCTGTCGGAGGCGCAGACGCAGGTCTACGTGCACTTGAAGAGCCGAGCGGCGGCCCTGGCGGAGGACCCGCTCGCCATGGTCGTGGTCCCTGCGATCGACGAGCTGGCGGGCGGCTGCGGGTCAGCGTACGAGGGCGAGACGGGCGTGAAGGCCCTCCCCTGCCGGCTCTGCGAGCTGGCCCCTGGCCTGCCCGCGCGGGAGTGCGCTGCCACGCTCGACGCGATCGACTTCGTTGACGACGAGGTCGGCGCCTGGCTGCGCCGCCCCGAGCTGGCGCTCCTCGACCAGTCCGACTGGCCCGACCCGCTGCCGCGGGCCCGCGTGAACGTGGAGACGGAGGCGGACTGGGAGGAGCTGGCGCTGCACCTCGTGTCGCTCAGCATCTTCACCACGCTCGCGGAGAGCGAGCTGGTCCGCGTGAGGGGCGAGCCCGCGCTGAACGGCCTGTTCGCGGTGGAGAAGAAGGGCACCCCAGCGCCTGGCGCCACGCGGGTCACCAGGCCCATCCCCAACATGGTGCCAGGCAACTCGCTCCTGAAGGCCCACGTGGGCGAGGCGGCGCTGCTCGCGGCCTCGACGTCCTGGACGTCGGTCGTGATCCCCGAGGGGAAGCTGCTGCTGTGGTCGGGCGACGACCAGAAGGGGGCCTTCTTCGTGTGGCGGGTCCCGCCCGCGTGGCACCCCTACATGGCCGTGGGGCGGCCGCTCGCGGGCAAGCTGTTTGGCCGCTCGGAGCCCGTCGTCTACGTGACCTCGGCTGTCATCGCCAATTTTTAGTTATTCTTTTTATTTTGTATTTTTTTTATTTTTTTTGTTTTTTTTTTTTCTTATTTTTTTTATTTTATTTTTTTTTTTTTTTTTTTATTTTTATTTTTTGGTATTTTTTTTTTTATCTGTTTTATTTTTTTTTTTGTCTTTCTGTATTTTTTTTTTTCTTTTTTTTTTTTTATGTTTATATGTTCTTCTGTTATTTTTTTATTTTTTTGTTTATTGTTTATTGTTTCTTTCTTGTCGTCGCCATGGGCTGGTCGCTCGCGGTGCCCGTTTTCCAGCACATCCACCGACGGCTGCGCCGCCTGGCGCCGCCCCTCGGGGCGGGGCTTCCCCCAGACGGGGAGTGGCGCAAGGATTGCGCGCGGCCCCTGGTCGAGGCAGGCAGCGGCCAGGACGCTGGCTGGTGGCAGGTCTACATCGACGACTTCGATGCGCGCCGGAGATCGTCGAGGAGGTTTTGGCCCGCAAGCTCGCGGGGGCCCTGAGCGACCTCCAGCTGCAGGTCCGCGCCAGCTACGAGAGGGCGAGCGCCTCCTTCTCGGCCGAGAAGGCGCACTGCAGGCAGCTGAGGGTCGAGCGCATGGGCGCGGACGTCGACGGCGTCAGCGGGCGCCTCGCGGTCCCCGCCTCCAAGGCGCTGGCCACTGCGGGCCTCTGCTTGGCCGCGGCGCAGCGGCGCCTGGCCCCGCGGCGCGTTGCCATGGCGGCCCTCGGCAAGCTCGCGAGGGCCTTCGAGTTCAGGCGGCCGCTCTTCGGGGTCCTGAGCTCCGTCTGGACGCTGGCTGCGTCCTCATCGCAGGAGGCTTACCTGGACGCGGAGATGGTGGAGGAGCTCCTCATGGGCGTGATGGTCCTGCCGCTGGCCGCCTCCTCGCTGCGGGCGCGCATCGACGGCATGGTCACGTCCTCGGACGCGTCGGAGATGGGCGGCGGCGTGTGCACGTCAGCCGGCCTGCGCGAGAATGTCGCCGCCGCCTTGCAGGTGCCGAGGGCGGTCCCCGACCAGCTGGGGATAGGGGCCAGGCTCCTCAACATGCCCGAGGACTGCGCCCGACCGTGGGCGGCAGCCAACCCACGCGTCCCCGCCAGGGCAGTCCGCAGGGTGTTGTCGGTGCTGCTCATCGGCCTGTTCGACGGCATCGGAGGCCTCGCCGTCGCCTTTTCGAGACTGCCCTTCCGCATCGCGGCCTACGTCGCGGCCGAGGCGGACGCCAGGGCGAGGCGCGTTGCCAGGCTCCGCCGGCCAGGTGTCATCGACTGGGGCGACGTCACCCGCGTGGGCAGCGAGACGGTGCGGGACCTGTTCGAGGCGTTCGGCGGCCTCGTCGACCTCGCGGCGGTCGCTGCGGGCAGCCCCTGCCAGGACCTGTCGCGCCTCAACGTCGGCGGGCGCGGCCTCAGCGGCAGGAAGTCCTCGCTGTTCCACGAGGTGCCGCGTATCCTGGCTCTCCTCGCCGCCGTTTTCAGGGACAGGCTCGTTTGGTTCGTGGAGAACGCGGCCAGCATGTCCGACGTCAACGGTGCTGATCTCGGAGGCGCTGCAGGTGAGACCGACGCTGGCGTGCTCGTCGGTGTTCGTGCCGTGCCGCAGGCCGCGCCTGTTCTGGACGAGTTGGGGCGTCACCGCGTCGGCGCCTCTTCGGCTGACCGACCGCGGGGTCCACGACGAGCTGGTGGGCCCTGGCGCCCCGCCCATGGACCTCGCGTGGGAGGACGAGGGCTGCTCTTGGCCAGGGAGACCGAGGTACACCTCCCTAGCCACCAAGGGCTCGAACCCTCAGGACGCCTCCGACGCCAGGGCCTTCCTCCTCGGCAACAGCTTCAGTATTCACGTCGGGGCATGGTTGTGCCAGCAACTCCTGCACCGCCGCGGCGCGCTGAACGGGGGGCTGTCGATAGAAGAGCTGCCCCCCGTCCGCGAGTGCCGGGCGACGTGGGACCAGGCGGGGGCCTTCGTCACGGGGCCAGGGGAGCCAGACACCGCGGAGGCGAGGCAGCTGGTCCTGCACTACCTCAGCCGCGCGGAGAAGGGCGGGTCGGACGTCAGGCTGGACTACGGCGCCCCCTACCGCCCGCGAGGTTGGCCGAGGACGAGCCTGGACCCGTTAGTGTGGATGTGGCGCGTGGTGGTCAGCATGGCGTGGCCCAGCCGGAGCTCCACCCACATAAACGTGAGAGAGCTGCAGGCGGCCACGTCGGCGATCAGGTGGCGCGCCCGCAAGGTCGCGCAGCGCGGGAGCAGGTTCTTGCACCTCGTCGACAGCCAGGTGGTCGCGGCCATCGTGACGAGGGGCCGCAGCAGCAGCAGGAAGCTCCAGCCCATCCTGAAGCGCTGGATGGCCGTCGTTGTGGCGGCCGACATGTACCCACTGATCGGCTACGTGGTCTCGGAGGGCAGCCCTGCGTGGCTCGAAGCCCAGGAGGCGAGGGCGACCCGTGCCGCGCGCGCGGCCGCTCACCGCTGGCCCGTGCCCGTGAGGCGCCGCGGGACGCGCTGCCAGACTCTCTCTTCCCTGAAGGTGTCGGCGGAGACGCGGCGGCGCTACGAACGGGCTCTGCGGGCCCTGCTGGCCCACTTCGGAGCCGAGCAGGCGGGGGCGGGCGCCTTGCGCGGGGACCCCGAGGACGCCGACGCCCTCGTCGCGGAGTACCTCAATGGCCTGTGGGCCTCTGGTGCGGGCATCGCGGCCGCCAGCAACACGCTGGCAGAGGGGTGCTTCGCGGCGCCTCGTTCGAGGCGACCACTTGACCTGAGCTGGACTCTCCTCAAGGCATGGAGGCAGCATGAGCCAGCGTCCAGGGTGCTGCCGCTCACGACCCAGGCCGTCGCGGCCATGGCGGGTTTCGCTTGCGCTGCAGGCGCTTTCGACGTGGCCGCCCTCCTTCTCGTCAACCTTGAAGGCATGCTCCAAGGCGCGGAGGTGTTTGCCCTGACGGTGGGCGACATCGTCACCGCAACGTGCTGTTCGTGGTCCGGATCAGCTCGTTCAAGACCACGGCTGGCAAGGACTGCGCGGAGGCAGTCGTCGTCCGCAGCAGGATGGCCGTGGCGCTCCTGCGGATTGCGGTCCGCAGCCTTGGTGCAGGCGCGCGGCTCTCCACCGCACGCCTGTGCATCGAGGGCGCGGTGGCCGGCTCAGTGCGCGCCCAGCCCGGGAGCAAGCAGCCCGCGCCGTTGCGCGAGGACTGCGGCTCCTGCAGCTGGCCACTGTAAAAGGCCACTGCTTGCGCCCAACAGTGCTTGCCGAAAATCGGGCGTTTGTCTTCGCTGCGGCGAAGGCAACCGCCCTCCCGCCGTGGGGCCGCGTGGCTCTCTCTCTTTCTCTGGTCCTGGTTTCCTGGGGCCCCTGGGCCCGCCCGTTGTGTGGGGCGCTCTCTGTTTGGGGTCCGCGCCCGTCTCACCTCCTCCGCGCTTCGTGTCGCCTCCTCCCGTCGCCTCCCCCCGTCGCCTCCTCCTCGAACGTGCCAACCCTTTCGGGGCCCAACGGCCGTGAGAACGGGGCCCAGAGGGGGGGATAACACTCTGCGCGGCCTGCCCTTTGGGCGTTGCCGCGCCGCTCCGGCGGCTGCAGAGTGTTGTCCCCCTCCTGGGCACCGTCCCCACGGTCCTTGGACCCCAGAAAAGGCTGCCGTGCCGTGTGGAGGGCAAGGGCTGGAGAAGGGCGTGGAGTGGGGGAGTGTGCTCAGGGGCCAAACCAGGGGGCTGCTGGGGGATGTCTGGCACGTCTAGGGCCGCCCTGTGCGGTGCCTGCCCCGCGTCAGGCCTGTGGCCTGGCGCGGGTGGCGTGGCCAGACCTCCCTGGCAGTCCTGTGGTTTGCCCCCCCGCACACCCCCGAGTTAAGGACCGGCATAAATATGTCATTTTCAGGGGGGTTGGGAGTTAAACACGGACGGCCTACGTAGCCTTAAGGCCAGTAGGTGGGGGAGTTAGATAGCGTAGGCCCCCTCCCCAGATTGCTGTATGCGAACGGTGGAGGACCACCTCGCACGCCTTAGGTGGCAAGCGCGCGGTGCGGTAGGCGCCGCGTGCTTGCCGCCTGGGTAATGCGTGGCGTAGGGTACCCTTGCATCCCGGTGCGTACAGTAGCTGGGGGGTTTGAGGGGGGTCTAGCCTACTCTGACCATTGGCGTGTCCGCGCGCAAAAAGGTGGGGCAGGGTATGTCTGTATACTGGTTCCCTGTATGCGTATACCCGTCTTCCCCCATTTGGCCAGGACACGCCGCCCCAACACGTCCGTAGCCTGTTTGGGCTCCCGCCCGCGGTCCACCCCTTCCGTGTTGAGGCACGCTTTCTGCTGGTGCCGTAGCCCAGAAGATAGCGTAGGCCCCCTCCCCAGATTGCTGTATGCGAACGGTGGAAGACCACCTCGCACGCCTTAGGTGGCAAGCGCGCGGTGCGGTAGGCGCCGCGTGCTTGCCGCCTAGGAAATGCGTGGCGTAGGGTACCCTTGCATCCCGGTGCGTACAGTAGCTGGGGGGTTTGAGGGGGGTCTAGCCTACTCTGACCATTGGCGTGTCCGCACGCAAAAAGGTGGGGCAGGGTATATATATATATATTATTATATATGTATATATATATATATATATTATATATATATATATAATAATATATATACAATGTGCGGGGGCCGAGCGGTCATTGATTGTCCCTGGGTGCGTGGCTGAATCAGGATTTCGGGGTGATAAATTGTGCTTGTTGCGTTGTTGTTGTTGCTGAGTATTTCTGAAGAACAATTATTGTTGATCCCCCCCGTCTGGTGCACATTGCTTTTTGTGTCGATTGAAGTGCCCTTCCCGGGGCTCGCACCTTGATTTTTATTACGGAAAGTCTTGAGGGTCAAATTGTGTCGTTGGCCCCCTGGTTACAACAACGGTTCCCGCCTGATTTTCTTTACCATGTATTGAACAATCGCGCTCTCGCTTGGGACTTCCTTGCAATTTGCCACCGGATCGCGGCTCCCGCTTGATATTTCTGCACCATGTATTGAAGAATCGCGGTCTCGATTCGGATTTCCTGGCAACTTACCACCGAATCGCGGCTCCCGCCTGATACTTCCTTACAATTTATTCAGATGCCGTTCCTCGGCACTCAGGAGTCGCGCTCCCGCTACATATTGCCTGGCGGTTCAGGCAGACTTTGCGTTTCAGCGACCCGCCCGCTCGATCCGCCCGTCTGGGCCTGCCCGCCCGACCAGCCCATTAGAGACTGCAGTCGCCGCTCGCTGCCCTTCGGCCGCCTTCGATGCCCCCCGCTGCCCGTACTGGTTCCGCGGTCGCCTTATCTTGCTGCCCTTTGTGGCCCCGTTGCTGCCCTCAGTGGCCCCGTCGCTGCCCAGTGTGGCCTCGCATTTTATGCCCTTTCGTAGACCCCGCTCGCAGTCGCCCGTCGTGGCCATACGCATGCCCTTCGTAGCCCCGCTGTCGCCCTGCGTGGCCCTCTCGCTGCCCTTCGTGGCCCCTTTGCTGCCCTCGGTGGCCCCGCTGTCGCCCTTTGTGGCCCCATATACGAATGCCCTTCGTGGACCCCGCTCGCTCGCGCCCGTCGTGGCCCCACCTGCATGCCATTCGTGGCCCCGCTGTCGCCCTTCGTGGCCCCCTCTCTGCCCTTCGTGGCCCCGTTTCTGCCCTCAGCGGCCCCGCTGCCCTCTGCGGTTCCGGATTAATTGCCCTTCGTGGCCCCCGCTCGCTCGCGCCCTTCGTGGTCTCATACACATGCGTTTCGTCGCCCGGCTGTCGGAATTCGCGGCCCCCTCGCTGCCTTTCGTGGCCCACTTTCTGCGCTCAGTGGCCCCGCTGTTGTCCGTTCTGGCCCATATATGTATGCCCTTCGTGGCCCCCGCTCGTTCGCGCCCGTCGTGGCCCCATATGCATGCCCTTCATGGCCCCGCTGTCGCTCTTCGTGGCCCCCTCTCTTCCCTCCGTGGCCCCGTTTCAGCCCTCAGCGGCTCCATTGCTGCCCTCTGCGGCCCCCTATACGTATGCCTTTCGGGGCCCCCGCTCGTTCGCGCCCGTCGTGGCCCGCGCTAACAACGGTTCCCGCCTGTGTGCCCGCAGGTTTTCGGAGCCTCTGGACTTGTTCGGTGGTCATTGAGGCCATTCCGAGGCCCCCCAGAGGTCATAGGAGGCTTTCGGGTGCCTTCCAATCCCCCCGCGCTTTGATTCCGCACCAGTCTCCGCTCGTATCCACCTGCCCCCACTTTTCAGATTTCTTTCCCAGTCTTCCCCACTCTTTACTTTTATCTCCTTCCCCAGTTTATTCCCAGCTCGTACTCCACTGTGCTATTCCTCAGTTCTTCGCTTGTCGCCCACTCCTCCCCAGGCCACTCCATCCCACGCCAACAATCGCTACCCCTTCCCGCTCGCATTCCGCATTTCTCCCAAATTATTCCCAGTCCTTCCTCCAGATTCCTCCGTGCGCCCCCCGCCCCTCTGCATCCCTCCCGGTTTCTCTTCTCCACTCCTTGCCGTCCCTCCTCCTGAGACCCTATTCTTGTCCACTCCATCCTAATCCACTCCACGTCCCCGCGCTCCTCTCGACGCGGTTGCAGTTCTCACTGTCCTTCCGCCCCGCTCCCCCAACGTCCCGCTTCTTTTCTAGGTTCCATGACATTTGTTTCTGGCGCCAGTTCGCAGCTGCGCGCCCCCTTCCGTGGGGGTATCCACGATGTGTTATTTCAAGTGGGTGGTACGTGGCGCTGTGTATGGCGCGGCCCATGGCGAAACGTATTGTTAACCTGTGTTGGAGTGGCTCGCGCAAGCCATGGCGCAAGCTGAACCGCCACTCGCAGCGCCAAGCATCGTCCTCCCTCCTTGCCCCTTCCCCTCCCTTCCTCCGACCCCTTCGTCTTCATTCCCCCCCGTTGCCTGCCACCCTTTGGTTTAAAAAGGGCTTCACCAACCGCGCGGGGCAAGGAATGAGTATACCCCCCAAAAGGGGGTGCGATCGAATACGAAGAGGGCGGGTGCCCAGGGTTTGGGATGTGCATATGGAAGGACACGCGAGAATCTAAGAGCGAACCGTCGTTTAATGATTGTTGCTGTTGTTGTTCGTGCTGTTGTTGTTCGTGCTGTTGTTGTGTTGCCTGCCAGGGCCATCATCCCTGTCAAATAATACCATGCGGGACACATTCGTTTTTTGCGCGCGCACGCCGAAATCTCCAAAAACCATTGGGTTCTTAAGAATTTTAGCACCGCGCATGTGTACCCACGCCAGTGTAGTAGCCACGGTCGTCCGCACGCCACGAAGTGAAGTGTCCCAACGTCATAGGGCGGGAAGCTGGGTTTGGGTGGTCGCGAAGAGTCGTTTGGATATTTGGTAGAGCTTGTAATGCCCCCCCACGAAGTGGGGGTATTGCCTGGTGTCGTATGAAAACCCTGGCACTGGGGAGAACACCACGCGTTCGGGTAAAATGATTGTTGTTGTTGTTGTTGTTACTGTTGCTGTTGCTGTTGCTGTTGCTGTTGCTGTTGTTGTTGTTGTTGTTGTTGTTGGTGGTGGTGTTGTTGTTGTTGTGCGTGTCGTTGTTGTTGTTGTTGTTGGTGGTGGTGGTGATGGTGGTGGTGGTGTTGTTGCTCTTGTTGTTGTTTGTGTGGTCGTCGTTGTTGTGGTGGTTGTTGTTGGTGGTGGTGTTGCTGTTGTTGTTGCTGCTGTTGCTGTTGTTGTTGTTGCTGCTGCTGTTGTTGTTGTCATCGCCCCACCCGCGACCCACAGGCGACCCACCCCGCGACCTACCCCGCGACCCACCCCGCGACCCACTTGCGACACAGCCCGTGACCCACACGCGACCCAACCCGCGACCCACCCGCGACCCACCCGCGACCCACCCGCGACCCAACCCGCGACCCACCCGCGAGCCACCCCGCGACCCATCGGCGACCCATCCGCGACCCATCCGCGACCTACCCCGCGACCCACCCGCGACCGACCCCGAAACCCACCCTCAGGGGAGGGAGAGCCACCCGGAACCGAAATTGACGTTTACTAAACGGCTTCGGGCGTTGATTCAACAGCCCCGCCCTGTTCGATTCATTCCTAGTGTGCGTTAACTGAACGGCTTCGCTTGTCGGGGTGATTCGTATTGGGTGGATTCTCTGCCCTCTACACCCGCGATCCAACAACGATCCACCCGCGACCCACCCGCGACCCATTTGCGACCTACCCACATTGGTTTGATTAACGAAAAAATCTGCGCTTGCGGCGGGCTCGTTGCACG